GGGTCACCTTCATCACCTCTGAGTTACAGCATCATAGTGATGAAGAGATAGAACTGCTGCTGTGTGAAGAGAACACTGCTGCTAACAACAACCTGATGTGTTTAAAGTGTTTACACACAATGTTATTGCCCTTTGTTCATATAGCAGTACTTTCAAAATAAAAGTGCGTGTGACAAAGCGGGTGAGAACACACCATTTGTCCCATATTACATTCATCTATAAATCTGACCATGCTTTTCAATTGTTTGTTTACCATACCCACCATGTGTTCCAGAGGCTAAAAGGGGGAGGCACCCAACCATTTCCTCTATTTATACACTGGATGATGTCATCAGTGATGTCATTGGGTCAAACCAAGCATGGGGAGGATTAGAGTATGTACAGGTAGATTTCTGTTTTACATTGTTGTGAGTGTACAGCAAATTGTAAACCATATAAAAGTTTTGGTTACCTAAAGGGGTGCTGTGAGGTATAGGTCGTGTCTGTTAACTATGGAGTCAGTAATTGGTGTCACCTGCACTCATGGTAGGAAGTGAATCCTGCTGATAGGAGGCTCTATATAAGGAGATGACTTTGACTGAACAGGGAAGAAAAGGAAGATCAGTGTGTAGCTGTGTGCACGTGATTATGTTACTTTAAGATGAGTTGAGCTTTATTGAGTTAAGCTAAATTCAACTTTTGCTTTGTTTGTGTGTATATATCTATATATAGATATATATCTATATATATCAATATATAGATATATATCTATATATATCTATATATATATATATCTATATATATATATATCGAAATATATCTATATATATATATCTATATATATATCTATATATAGCTGTCAAGGTCCTTACGGATATATATCTATCTATATATGTGTATATATGTGTGTATATGTGTGTATATATGTGTATATGTATATATATTTGTGTATATATGTGTGTATGTATATATATGTGTGTATGTATATATGTGTGTGTGTGTGTATGTATATATGTGTGTGTGTGTATGTATATATGTGT